TGAATTTATACAGGAAATGAACATTTGCCAGGAAGCTGTTTATGCAAAGAAAGGGCTTTATTGAAACACACACAACTATATACAACGCGTATCCAAACACATGCGTTTCTAAAAATTAAAAGTCCGTGAACGGTCCGTTTGCTTCCTCGGGGTTGGAGGTAGCTGGCAGCATTCCCTCCGAGGCAGGTCCGATGTGCAGACGCCTACTGTGCGCGGCCCTGTACTTCGGCATCGCTTCTAACCGGGACTGCAGCTTAACACAGAGTTCAGTGAGATCCGGCCTATGAAGTGGCGGCGACCGTACAATCCATCCAGAGACACCGCCGACGAAGGCGGACTTCCAGAGTTCCACTTCCTCATCTGCTAGCACACTCTGCCTCGCTTTCAGCAGCTGAAAAAAAAAACCAATGAATCAGCGCACTGCGTATGGACACAACACATCTATTAATGCACCTGAAAAATAGTCACCAAATAAAGTCTTACCCTCTTTCTTCTGGCCCGACTCCGAGCAGATTGCCTCCGCACGCAGCGTGTTGGCTGGCTGCGTATATCTGAAGCTCCTGCGTACCGTCTGAAAATACGTCTTACAGGCAGCTGGAAAACAATTAAATGAGAGTGGTATGAATAAAAAATCAAACGCAAGTCACAGTAACAAGGAAGGAGAAAACATTAAAACAAGTCACTTACACACAATGTCGTCTTTATCAACATTGTGCAAATCTGGACTTGCTAATATGGCTCCGAGCAAATAGGAGGTCACCGCCTCATTGTGAGGCGACAGTAGTCTGTGAAAACAAAATGTAAAGCTTTGATCAGTATCTATCCGTATCCATTGCCTTTTACCGCAGAATGAAAGCATATTCTTTAAATCTTACCCTTGCTCCGGTTCATAGCGCCTGCAATTAGTCTCCGAGTTGTGAAGACGGCGTACTGCTTCCTGTGAATCACAAAAAATACACTTTAATAAAGCTTGTTCTTGCAAGGCTACTATTAGCGGTAGCTTAGGCTAGGCTGCTTTTAACCGTAGCTTAGGCTAGGCTGCTTTTAGCTTAGCAGGCAGTAATCGAACATATATTTACCGCTAGCATCTCTTCTTTGAGTTCGTCTTGTTCGATGCAGAGTCGCCATCGCGTCCAAGAGGAGTTTTACCCCGAAATCCAGACGCTCCAGACCGCCTGCACAAAGCAAAGCATACATCCTCCACTGTGGCTGCACACCGCGCCGCTCTGAGTTTCTTGGAGATCGTAAAGAGCATGCGCGAGATGAACCAGGGTTTCCGCGGATCAATAAAAATCATAAAAAAATCATTCATTTTTTTTAAATCAAGGCCTTAATTGGCACTAAAATTATTTAAATATGTTTATCGAAGTATTTATAATTCTTTAATAAAAAATGCTTATAAAAACAATTTCGTCAGATATATTATATCGCTCCAGGCGGAGAAAAAGCTAGAGGATATATATATACGTATATATGTGTGTGTGTGTGTTTACATACATACAGGAGTCATGGAACTATGCTTGCAGCTCCTTCATATTTCATGTACACTAATAACTTGTGTACATGGTTCTTGTTGATGGCATTAAAATCATTTCAAATAGCATTAAATTAGAGTCACTCATTCCTGTATGAACCCTGTGAGCGCTTAATTTAATATGACATATAAAAAAAATCCCACCATCATCCAGCATATGTTCAGTTTCTGCCCAAATATATATTTATATTTTTGTAGATTTTTGTAACGGGGATAAGGATAATTCAAAACTGCTTTTTTTGAATGAACTTGCTCTCTTCTCCCAAACTCAGCATCTCTTTTCATTCCTGTAATAAGAAGTTTCTTTTGAATGGATTTGATTAAAGTTTAAGTCCCTCGGTATAAAATAAATATTTTGATGGAGATGAGAAATCTGCTTCCTCGTTGGTGAATAACCAATAGTTTGGATCCAATCATTTAAATAAACGGTGTTAGTTTTTTTTTTTATATATAAGAATTGTGCTATCATTTCCAGTCACCGATCTGTTGCTGCTATATTTTAATTTGACGAACCGGAATTTGTCGATGCTCTTTTTCCTGTTTGGTGCGATTGCAATTGCGGATCTTGACCTGGCCGGACCTTATGACCACAGTGTACCAATCTTCTGATGGTTACTTCCAACAGGATAATGCGCCATGTTATAAAGTGAATCATCTCAGACTCATTTCTTGAAACTTTTCCACTTAAGTTATTGTGAATTGAGCATATTGACAGACAACATTTTATTTTTTATCTTAAATGCAATTTTTTTTTTTTTTAATAATTACTGCTCTAAATGTATTGCTCTGTCAGCTAAAGATCTGTTTTGGTCTCTATACTTTAATTAAATAAATCAATTCAAGCTAAAATGTAAGAGGCTATACTGAGCCTGATCTCTTTGTATCAGAGATTTCTTACCTTTTAGAAAAATGTCACTTGGAGTAAAACCCCCCCTGCAACCCTGATTTGCATTTGTATAGCTCACAGCATGTTCATTTACATGTTAAAGCCTCCCCTAGAATTCCATGGGGGGGAGGCATGGGGGGAACACTGCCTAACAAAGTCCACGTCAATTTCTGACAATTTAGGGGAGTTTTCGGCGAAGCCTGCAAATTGTCGTAAACTGCCGCTAACCTGAAGTTCCACGACAATCTACAGTGCAGCATATTGACGAAAATCCCACTTTTCATGCAGTGAGGCAACAAGAAGTGCCTATTTCATCCCACTGGAACCAGAGATTTTAATGAAAAAGTAAAAAAAGGAGATGTGTTTAAAAGACAGAAACGGCCCTATAGCTGCAAAAAAGAGGAAGATGGCGAAGGAGAAGATTGTGGCTCGATTTAATGCATACGTTTATATGAAGTGGGCTATGGCAGGCCGATTTTACATTTATTCTCTCTCTAACTCTCCTCTCTGTTTTTCCATTTGTAGATCACTAACATAAGAATCTTCCTGATAAAAATTACACTTCTAGATAGAACTGTAAAAATATATTTTCTAAATCACATTTTTGTAGCAGCAACTGAATTTTATAAAGTAAAAAATACAAAATTATATCGGTAAAAATAAAGTTTTATATATTTAGAAATGTTTATACCTTTTAATTGGCCATTCTGACATTTATCAGCTTGACTGAATGTGTATTTATGATATCTGAAATACCTTTTTTCATAGTTAAAATAATACAAATGCTGACCACTAATATTAGGAATATGGAGATCTGAAATTAATTTCTAGACATCCAGAATGTTTATTCTAGATGCAGAGAATGTCATTTTGTTTGAAATGGTAATTTAGACAAAGAAGATATTATGGAAACATATTCAGAAAAACTAGTACATATCAGGATGTATGTTGTGTTGCAGGATTATTTTTTGAATGGTAGTGGATCAGTGTATCTTTATGTGAAATCTTCTGTCAGCAGGTGAAAATTAAGTCTCAAAACATTGTTTTTATATATAGAACCTGTGCATCATCCCATGGGTCCATCCTAATGTTGATTCAGTCTTCTTTTACATGGTAAATACTAAGTGGCTGTTTGAAGCCGCACTTCAGGTGTTATCGTCCCAATAAATGGTTGTTATTAGAGGTTATCCGGCCCATAGAATGGCTTCAGATTGTGCCAGTAGGCTCATTAGATTTTTATCATTGAGTGAATCCTAATCCTTACCCTAAAGGAATTCCTTTTTCCTGTGAAATTAATGAATCTATTTATGTGTAATCTGAAAATTATTTTAGTGGTTCTTCATGTACTTTAAATATAACTGAATAAAATTAAAATGATCCCCATCATGCTCATATTAAACAAACCAAAAACAAATATATTTTGGTATAAAAAAAAAATTAATATATATATATATATATATATATATATATATTAATTTTTTTTTTTTGTGCACATGAATACGACAAAAATCATACTAAATCAGGAAATAAAACGACATGATTGGCTGAGAGCGGAGACAGGATTTTACTACGGTGACTGAAACAGATGTTGAGTAAAATCTCTTTGTGAAACGGAAAAGTCAAAGTTTCCCTGTTTTCAGGTTTAAAAAACTTAGTTTTCGGTAAACCTGCTTTGTGAAACAAACCCCTGGTCTCAAGATTCATTCTTACAACAACTTTATCTTTTTAGCCACCTGTTTCTGCAAAATGTTTTTAGATTGTCCATCTGATTTCCTTTTAGTAGCCTAACAGACCTGAGCAGTATGTGACTGTAAATTCATTATCTCAAGTGTACAACAAGATCACATGAATGGGGAGGGGGGGACTATTTTATGAATGCTGATAATAGAGTTTTTAGAGCCAAGCTTTGAAAGTAGAAATTTCCAGAAAGCACAACAAACTACTGAGGCAAACAGGAACACCCTGACATGACAACATAGAAAGTGAAAGCTGACAAAGATGTGAGGGAGGCAGTTAGGCTGACAGCGTTTGTGAGATTGTGTGTGTGTCTGTGCTTGTAGTCCTGTTTATGTGGGAAGCTGCAGTTGTTCACTGAATTACCTTCAACGTTGTGATGTTCTCTGCTGCTTGTTTTTTCGTCTGTGGTCTGGCTGTATTACTTTGTCCAGAGCCTTTCTTTGAAGCAGCAACAATATTAATTATGGAGGTGCCTAATGTAAAGTAACTCACTGTTTTTTATGCTTTAACTGGCTTTTGTTTTTCCTAATTATATATATATATATACATATATTGTTTTTAAGTTACCTGTAAAAGCTTTTAAAAAGCCTCTGTTGTACAATGAAAATAAAATGCACAATACGATACAACCAAACAAAAGGACAACAGGTCATGCAAATCCTTTTGTACCTAGAAAGGCTGTGTGAGATAAGAGAGAGAGTTTTTTTTTTCTAGACATCAGCTAATAGAAGGGAGGAGTGTGCATGTATGGTGGGAGGAGACGGGGGTAAGTGCTTGTGTGTGTGTGTGAGAGAGGGAGAGAGGCAGGGGGAGGGGACATAGAGCAGAGAGGATTTGTGGCATGTAGTTAGTCAGCTGTGATTAGATGCAGATGACACACACACGGGTAATCTCACAGAGCAGAGAAGGGAAGTATACAACGTGCAGATGACAGTGACGTGTGTGTGTGCATGTTTGTGTGTGTTTATTGCGTGCACTGTGTGAAAACCAGCACGCTTACTTGGTTGGCATGAGATTTTCGGCCGACTTGCAAATGGTTATGGACTGCTTCAGTTATTGGCAGAGGTAAGTTACTGTTAGAATCTGATTGCACATTTAAAGGCACTGTCAGGTTAGAGGTTATAAGTTTATTTTTGTAATCATAGTTTTTTTCTTTTTTTTTATATGTAAGGTGAAGGTTAAAATTGTACTTTAAGGATGTCCCAAAGATACTGATTTGTTATTTAACAAGTTTTATATTCTTATGTCACTTTTAATTTTCTTCTTTTTTATACAGTCTCAAAGAAAATATTTTTGAAGACTTAAGAAACCTTACTTTTAAACTAGTTTGCACTTTAGAAAACATGCTATGTTTCAGTATGACTAACCAGAGATTAATTCAGTTCTCCCAGTTGGTGTGGTCGTCTTACTCAGTCCCGGACTTTGAGCTGTCATGTATTGTTGTTGTAGGTTGTGACACTATGTTGGTGTGTGTTGTGAAGGGGAGTGGTTACAATGGACTGGTGGCTCACAGATTGTGGAGTCAGCAGGCCTGAAGCTGCCCTGCCACCTAAGGTCTAAACAGCCCATTGCTTTACCTGCTTTCACAACAACTGTTGGTAATGCTCATCCATTAACAGCAGGTTGCCAGTATTTACAGACAATTATTACAGGTAATTTTCATCTTAGACAAACAAGGGAATTCTAAAAGAGCCCTGACATAAAAAAAAATCCACATTGTGCCTGTATTTGTGTCTCTCCTGCTTTTAGAAATGTCCAAGTGGTTAAAAAAAAATACCATCCAGACATTTCTCTCAATAGCTAAATTTAACATGCCTTGGGGAAACCATAAGAAAAGTCTACAAATGGTGGTTATCAGTTCTTTACAGACCCTGAAAGAATGGGGTGTAAGCTTTCCAGTGATGTCAAACTTGTGGAAATTGAAAAATTATTGCGGAAGATATGGCATTTTGAATCTCAGAATTCTACAGTACAGGAGAAAACTATTTTGGAAGGTTGTTCCATTCAGTTTGGGAGACAGCTGGGCGGGGATAAAAGCGCTTAATTTGAATAACTTTTTACAAGTTTCTGCACACCTCCCCCAAAACCTCGCAAAACAAAGCTTGTCAAAAGAGGCTTTGAAAGCAACTTACTGCAATATCATTGACATCATCAAATGAGAGCACTTCCACCTCCTGCACAAGCGCAGACCCATTCCCCACATAAAGGTGACATTCTACACCCCCCAGAGCAATTTTTATGTGTCATAGGATCAGGTCCATCTCTAACTGCTGCCCAATCCTCTTCGCACCAGTCCCTCATGGTTCTCTCTGCAGGTAGCAGGCCCTCGGGTGGAAGGCCTTGTGTCCCTCCTTCGGGCTTAGCCTGGCAAAGTACCATGAGGAGGAACCCAAAAACCAGACACTTACAGACAAACCCCACCCCAGGCCTGGCTCTAAGGTCAGGGCCCAGCTCTGCCGCACCGGGCAACATTTTTTGCCTGATTTCATCTTCATCATAAGGGCTTTTTGAACCCCCGGTTATCTTACCCATCAACCAGCACCTGTTTGTCTTGGGAGACCTTACCAGGTACATTTAAGACCCCAAAACATAAGATCATTGGAGCACTGAAAATCCTCCACTACGTTAAGGTGGCAGATCGCGGAGGGGAACGCTGCGCTGGTCTATTGGTGAAGTGTCAAACCATAAGGCAATGTTCTCAATTTACTGGTTAGTCTATGTTCCTACTCACATATAATTTGATTAAATTCAGTTTATTTATAAAGCGGCAATTCACAACACGCATCATCTCAAAGCACTTTACCGAGACAATTCAACAAGATCACACAGTAAGATGGGTTCAAAGTTTTCTATCTTTAGAAACAAGCTGATTGAATCGACTCATTGACTCGAAAGCAATCCCTCAAACCAAGCATCCATGTAGTAGCAGTGGAGAGGAAAGCTCTCTTTTAACAGGAAGAAACCTCCAGCATAACCAAGCTCAGTGTGAGCGGATGGGGTCCAAGGAGAACGAAGCAGACATACAAAAAGAGGTCAACCAGTTCCACAGGTGGCTACATCCTGGAAACACACAGCCAGGCAAATGAGCTAGCAACTCCCATATCAGAGGATGAAAGTTAATCAAATACAGTTAATCAGTCAGAGAAACAGGACTACACTGAAAAACAGGCTAATCTCCAACATCAAAGGTGTTGATCTTAGCCGCACAGCTGATCATGGAGTCACAGCCAAACAAGAACAGACTAGATGAAGCTAAAAAGGCTGCTCAAACTGGCCTTTAACCTGTGGATTAAATGTTTAAACATACTTAACATTAAAGAAATCAGGTGGTGATGGGCTTTTAGGGTATTCAAAGCCTTCAGAATCAGCAGTGCTGGCTGATGCTACCACTGATCTCTATTCACTGGATTGCTGATAGCCCGTTGGTCTAATGGGGTGGAGTGAAGCCACCGGCTGCCATATTGGTACTCCCTAGTTAGACCAGTTGTAATGAAAACAATACGTGCGCTACAGCATTGAACAACGACGACATTTTTCAGGGGGCTCAAGACTTTTGAAAAAAAGATAAATTCGTTATTTGGACACACACTTGCTGTTTCATAGCATAAGTAGATTACTGTAAGTTATGATAAAAAAATAGGCACATCACATTGCATAGTCATTATAAAGTCAATGAAGTCTATAAATTATATAATATAAAATATTTTACAAATCCATCTCAGCAAAATTAAAGTGTTAATGAAGCACAATAATGCAGATGTGCCAAAGGTGCTAAATGTTCATTAATTATGTACATGTAATATACATATATTGATGACATTTTTGTGGTAATTACCTATTATAATTTCAAGATTTCACATCAATTCACTAAATTACATTACATGTCTGTTAATGCAATACTATTTTCTTATTTGCAAAATTTGCATGAATGATGTATGAGTTGCTTTTTTTTCATCAATATAACATGCAATATATTTCAGCACATACAATAATCACTACAAAAACGACAGCTTTATCTACTTAATATAGAATTACTACATTGACATTTCACAGTGAATAACTTTCTATTTACTATACTTTCTATTTTCTACCGTTAGACACAATATCAGTGGCTAATTCAGTCAATGTCTTCGAGTCGGTCCCAGATAGCCAGACTAATGTTACGTTACATACTATTCTATAGGATACATCAGCGTATATATGGACTTTCTTGGTTAGTACATCGAATGACTGTGAAAGTGAAACGTCTTCTCACAGCCGGCAAACTGCTTGCTTTTGCACCAAAATGCTACACATGTAGGAATTTTTATGACGCCTTTCCGTGGGCGTGGGGAGTACCAATATGGAGGCAAATGGCTTCACTTTTTGTAGGGCTATCAGCAATGCAGTGAATAGAGATCAGTGGATGCTACCTTAACAATATTAGTAAGGAATGTTTTCTTCAACCAACCAGATTTCATATTTGCCCCACTGGGCCAGCTAGAGGGCCCACCCCTATATTGGCATTTTCTATTCTCTGATTGGTCAGTAAGAACAAAATTCTTCAATCGCCATGCAGTGGGAACACCAGACCCGTTTTTACCCGCTAAATTATGTGACACCATTGAACACAACGTATGGACGTCATCACACCGCCAGCGTGTGATTTAACCACCCGAAACAACCCTGTTTACATTTGATAAACATGGAGCAGCATTTGTAAGAGGGATTTGGACACATAAAAGAAAGAAACAATAAATCACACTTACTTCGCACTGGCATCCTTCCATGTTACTCTCCATTGTTTACATTCCTGATTTCTGTCGCACTGGGGACAACATCAACGCTAAACCTGTATGTTGGCTTACCAGACATGCAGCTGCCAGGGGACAGAGGCCACGATACTTGCCAGTTAGGGGTCAGACCCAGCTTTTTTTGACAATGGGAAGGGAGCATAATGTCGATTGTTAGGGGGTCAACAAATTGCTGATTAATTTATTCACTCTGCATCCATTTTTTTTGTCATATTTAATTTAGTTAGGCAATAACAAGTTGTTTTCCACTTTTTTAATTTTTTCAATTCAAAAAGATTGTGCAGAATTATACACGTCAAGTCAATAAGTCAACGCAATCAGCTGGTTTTCCTTAGATAAAACATTTTTAACCAATCTGACAGTATGATCGGGTTGAAATGTCTCTTTAAAGTGCTTTGAGAGGACATGTGTTGTGAATTGGCTCTATATAAATAAAATGAACTGAATTCAATTGAATTGGCAGCATATCCCTATGGAACTCATTGTTTTGTTAGGAGTTTAAAAAGCAAGGAGTTTGAGAGGATATTCATATTGTGATACGGTGCATTATCCTGTTTAAATAATCATTAAAGATGAGTATATGTTGGCTAGAAATCAATGAACATGTATTTGCTGATAAACAACGCTTAGTTGGTTCTAAGGGACTTAAAGAATATCTAGAAAATATCCCCCACACCATGAAATCCAAGACACTTTTTTGAAGTATTGATACAAGGTAGATGGATCATTTTTATGTGGTGTAAATAAAAGCTTTGGCTTTTCTGAAATCCCTTAATATATTTTAAATCCATGAACTGGGGGGAAAGATGACTAACTTCCTTTCAAGCAGTGTTAAATGTGATTTAAATTATGAAAGGAAAGAGAATGTAATGACAAAAATGCTTATCGGTGTCTGAATATTGTAAAATTAGCCAAAAAGGCAATTTTTAAAAATATTGTTTCTGGGCTAAAAACTTAGGCTGACCAAAAAAAGCCGTAAATAAATGCTTGCGGATTTGCTGTTTTGGAAGCTAAAACTTCAAAGCATAGCTGTGAATGATAAATGGTAAACAATGTAGGCTTTTCTTTGACTTCTCTTGGAATCAAATAACCTGTAGGCATTATTTACTTTTATGTGCTTTGTTAAGTTTATTGCCACATAAGGTTAAATAAAATAAAGACTTAGATACAAAATAGAATATAAGAAACACCATGAATGGCTAATTTATTCATTTGCACGTCAGATTTTTAAAAAAAGTCAGTAAAAGCCATGCTCTTTTGATTGGCAGTAAA